GACCGCGGTCCCGCAGCCGGGCTGGGCGAGGAAGTGGGAGCGGGCTAACAACCCCTCGGGTCTGCTCCCCCCCAGGCCAGTTCTGCAGCCCGCAGCTCGGTGCCCAGGACGCGGCGTGGCGGGGGGACCAGCTGACCAGCTCTACAGAAACAAGCAGGTAAAGGCTCCGCACGTACCCCTCTGCGACCTCGGTTTGTCTCTCCCCGCAAGGTTCTTGAACTCTGTGTTGTGCATCAGACCTTGTGGCTTGGCTCATGGCACATCTCCCTCTCACCGGCTCAGATGTGGGAGACTGTGTCAAACGGCTTTGTTGGGTTTTGGTTTTTTGTTTTTTTTTTTGTTTCTTCCTTGAAGTAGTTGTCTCCTCCATGTTGTCCTGTGAAGCTGGAACAACTGGTGTGGGGTTCCCTAGTCATCTCCTTCCCTCTTACAGTGCATTGCAGGAGCTGCCTTGGTGCTAGAGAAGACCAGGGCATGACCAGGGAATCCCTCAGGCTCTGATGATGCACAACCTCACACTGTTCACTAAAAATACATAGTGCGTGTCTTCCTGAGTCCACCAGAATTACCTACTTATATGGAGGATAAATGATTTTGACCAACAAGCATTTCCTTGTTGCTTTATTTTCTCTCTTCTTTCCTTTTTTGTAAATCCCATCAAGGGGCAGAAGACACTCTGAACAGTCCTAAATGAAGGAGCCCAAGACATATCTCTCTAATCAAATACTTAGAATGATATTTTGACACAGGGAAGTCAATGGAAATTCATTTACTAACTTCAAGGTCCCTGGAATCAAACACTACTTCCAGACATCAGTGTACTACTTTCTTTGGCTCTACCTTAAGCATTTAAATCTGTGCTTTTCAGCCAGTGGTCAGCAGATGCCCAGCATCCTTGGCAGAAGATCCTTTGTCCTCCTAAAGGAGTCTCCAGAGCTGTGATCAAGAGGCAAAAATCTCTCTGCAAATACCTAGACTTCCCATGCAAAAATGTTAGGTGTTTGCAAATCAAAACATACCTGTTCAGCTGTTGGGACCAGGGATTATCTCAGCTCTGTATATGTACTGGCACAGTAGGGTCCAGGATTGAAGGGATCCCTGAGCACCACTGTATCATCAAGAATGGCAGTTGCATCTTCCTTCTGCACTCTATCCTCATAAATTGTTACTGTGCAGCTCCTCCTTTTCCCCACCAGCCAACTATAAATGGGACCGAGAGGGGTGCAAAGGGATGCTTACTGCCGCTCGGGAGGAGATCTGGCAGCTGCTGTCATGCCTGTGACGGTTTCTGGCTGTTCGCAAGGCTAACTGTAATTATTTTTCTGTTATTATTCTGCGGTTACAGGTTTTTTCAGAGTAAACTTCTCAAACACTCACTAAAGAATAAAGGAAGTCAAAAGTGAAAACTGAACAGTCATGCCACTTAGATTTACAGAGACAAGAGGCTGGGGGGGTGGGTTGAGTTCACAAAACAAACACCCAGATATCAAATCCAAGCAGCCTGTACCACAGGGCAATTGCTATTAAGTTACAGAGTCAACATCTATTCATCAATATCTCTATTCCACAGCTTCAAGATACTTTGCTTCAGAAGGAAGAGGAACTTGCTAGGTTACATGAAGAAAATAATAACCTCCGACAATACCTGAATTCTGCCCTGATTAAGTGTTTAGAAGAAAAAGCCAAGGTATTGTGTTCAAAGCTGTTGTATAGATGTGTGCAGAAGAAATGGGTTGAATAAGTACATGCCATTAAAATATATGGAAAGTCTAAAAGCATAGACAACCTGCAGTATGAGATCTGTTTAACATCACAGCTGCCAGATTGCTGGTCATGGATCTAAGGTGATGGTTTACCCCAGGAATGACATCCTGTCGGGTTCTGACTGTGGAGACAGTATAGCCCATGGCATAATTAAGTTTAGTTTATAAGTTATCTATAAGTAAGTTAAGTTTATAAGGAAGGGAAAATTATTCCACCTACTACTTTTTTCACTGAAAAGTTCAAATTTGAACAGAAGTTTCTTGAATGTGTCTTTTGTCAATTATCCCTTTTTATAAGGATTAATTTTCCTTTGTTTTGAGTGCTTTCTGGTTTATGTTTTGTCATCTTCCAATGATACATTTTATTTACTTACATTAGAATATTGATCTTCTCATTTCTTTCAAATTTATTAATTAAAAGTTGTGTGGTTTTTTTTAAAAGTGAAATACAAAATTAAACACTGCAGATTGGATGACACATTCTGTTAAAGTGTGGAGGATTTTTTTGAATTAAATATTTTTATTCTCTGTCTCTCATCCAAAATAAAGATAATTGTTTCTTGTTGGCTTAAAGACATTTTTAAAGCATTCCAGCCTTGCCCATGAAACTGAATTATTAATTGTTTGCTCAGGTCTAGAAATTGGACATGAGGTAAAAAAGCCTGTAAAAAATAGACTTTCCTTTTACATGCTATTCGGAGTTGACAGTGCGGCACGTCCCCCGTCCCATGCCAAGACCTGGCTCCTGGTAGTAGAAAAGATCTCCTTCACTGGGCACAGCAGGGAGACATGGCCACCCCTCTGTATCATGTGGAGGAGAGTCCAGTGTGAAACCATCACGGGAGGTGGCTGAGCAGTGGATTCATGACGTGGTGGGGAGATTCCTTCTCTTATTCCTGCCTTCCTTTGACCGTCTCTGGATGCCTGAAGGACCCTGGGATGGCAACTGAGGTGGATTAATGAGCTCAAAGCCACTCAGTCTGCTGCTCTGAGCACTCCCTGGCCAGGATCACACCTGCCCCAGTATGACTTACCTTCGCATCGTCCCTCTTTGTCGGGCTGCCGCATTTTCCCCCATACCCCACTCACCTGCCAAATGCTGCTGGCAGCAACAGCGCAGAGGAGTGCCGTACAGCCAGGCGGGAGCTCTCATTTCACGCCGTACTGAGTGAGAATGCGATCAAAGCACAGGCCTTATTGACATTGTTAAATTCTTCTCTTTCAGGGACTGGGTTGTTGCAGAGACTGTAAAGACACAAAACAGTCGTATCCGAATGTTTAAGCACAGAGTGAAAGAAAAATATCTTTTATAAGGACAGTAATAACAATCTTGCCCATCTAAAATCTGGGATCAGAAACAGGTTGTTTCCAGGTAACTAGAAATTCAGATTTTAATCTTCCCTCTCCACCTCTTTTTTTTTTTTTTTTTTAATAGAAACTGCTATCCTGCCATGGCCAAAAAACCTGTGCTAGTCTCAAAAGCACCAAGAGAAGATTAAAAGAGGACCACTGCTTTGTTCCTCAGGAAACTCCTCATGCTTTCAAAGCTAGAAGGAACCTCTTTAATGAATTCACTGCCTGTGAAGAGCAAGCCAGCCCTACTGTGGACAGCTGGGTCTTGCAGACTTTAGGATTAAAAGATGTCAACACCATTGATGAAACTTCAGCTAACTACAGTGCCCTGGCCTCAGACCTTGGAAAAGACACGTACTGCCTGAGCCCTGGTGAAGCAATAGACTATGACCAGAGTGAAGGAGCGGCAGCAGCATATGGCTGTGGCCACATGCCTCCAGCTAACAGCAGTACTCATCCATGCAGTGAGGACTCTTCCTTCCTTCCTCAGTTTTCTTCAGCACCATGTGTTTCCTCATCAGTGCCAAGCATTTCCTCCCTCCCAACCTATGGGTTGCCTTATTTGACTAGCAATTTTTCACCCAATAAAACAGAAGTGGCCTTCACAACATCTTTAAGTCCTCACCGCAATGTGAGAACGCACACCTTCCACCAAGGACAAGCCTTCGTGCGCAGGGATGATGATGGAGGATGGAGATTCACCTGGGTTCCCAAGCAGGCTGAATAAGGCACCTGCATCAAGGATCAGCTGTAGGGGATGTAGGAGACAGACATTTCATCTTGTGCTTAAGACAGGTTCAGGCATCAAAAATGAGCCCTTCTGAGCTCTGATAAATGCTACTCTGTCACCTACACATGCCTGCTTCCCTCCCAGATTTTCACAGACGTGGCTCCAGATTGCACTTGGACTATTATCTACCCCAGGCCAGATGTACAAATTGGATCAACTTATCTTGTGTCTGTGTTGACATACCTGCTTTTACTTGCTTCATTGTTTTTCTATCATCAGCTGTTCCTTGTTAACTGGTAGTTTCCAGGCTGGAGTGCTTTCAGCTTTGATGATCACTCCCACGTGCACCAAACTAGAAAGCATTTTGGGAATACAGTTTGGAAGTAGCACACCTCTCACCCACAGATGACAAAGGAGGCATAGGTTGGAGTCCAAGCATCAGCAGTGTCTAAGTGGTTTGTGTCTCTCTTGGCTACACAGATTGCCTTGGATTAAGGCAACTATGGATGTTTGTTAGTGTGCTACACTAGGCTGACCTACCTGCAGTCACATGGTGCTGTCATTCTTTGATGATGCCTCAAAATAAACAGGATTTGCTTCTATTGCCTGGAGGCTACTTAATTACAAGTAATTCAGCAAGTTCAGGGGATTTTCTTCTGCTGTGATTAAGAGACTAATGTGTTTACGACACTGTGTTTTAAAGGTATTTTATCTGTCAGATAACAGGAGTTTGAAAAGCTTGAACCCTGGAACAGGAACTAGAATTGGAGATGCTATAGAGTAATGACACTGCCATCACCAATCAAGGCCCTGGCCCAATGCATTAGTGACAGAATTTTTCTGATCTGTGGTTAACTCAGAGCACTACTTTATTCTGCAAAGAATGCATTCCCCTTGCCTGCAGCCTCCCACTAGTCTTTTGATGGATTTTATTCCATGTTTACCTGCCTGATGTTGGAAGCTCTTATAAAAGGGAATCAACTCCTAGATCCGTAAGCAATTTCTGTGGGTCCAGTGGAGCTTTTGTTTGCAATGTCAAGAGCTGCACTCATGAAACTGGAGATTTTCTTTCTAGGGAAAAGAATCTTGACCTCTTTCTCCTGATCTGAGATCACACAGAGATTTACCTGCAATCAACATCAGCCCAGTCAGGGCTGCTTCCTCCTCGTCCTCCTGTGACCCCATGCTTCCCATGGGAAACATTTCTCCTGGTTTGGGTAGGCAGTATCACTTAATGGTTAGAGTAAGTCTTTGGGAACAACAGCCTTTCCATGTCTCTTGTCAGGCAACGGTGGCCTGGGCTGAAGCTACCATCATCACTTGAGAATGCTTTAAAAATCTCTGGAGAGAACATGCTCTAGCACTGCACGGGACTTTTAGTAATGCTACTAATGATATGAAGTCAACTGACATGAAGTAAGCTCACCAGTAATGTTTTGTGTTACCTTTGTTTTCTGCTTTATAGTACTTTGATGCCCAAGTAGTGGAAACAGAGTGATTCGGTTGTTCTTGCTTTCAGAATGGTCCCAGGGACATTAAGGAAGTACTTAAGTAAAAATAACCATAACTGAGGATTTCCTTCCAGTGGCTTATTTTACAATAGAAAACTAGATTTTCCTTTATTTTTAGAGGATAAAAATATCTCCTAAATAGCCTCTTGTGCCTTAGAATTGCAGTATTTGGGATTCTCCATCAGGAGCAATAGTGCTTTCCCAAAAGACTTTTAAATGAACAAACTCAGTGTTTCTGGGTAGTTACTTTAAATTCAGTATGGGGCAAACTTCCAGAATAGGCAATTTGTAGGCATTATTGCACTGGATTTAAAACAGAAACACACAAATAAACCAAAGCAACAACAAAAACCCCAAAACAAACCATGCACATGGAATAAACACAAGTATTTGTTTGAGAGTTTTGTTGTAATCAGTAAAAATGTGGCCAGCTGATGAAGACTAGTCAGACAAGACCACTGTTTCTATAGCATTTTTCTGAGAAGCTCAACATGAGCCGGCAGTGTGCGCTTCCAGCCCAGAAAGCCAAACGTGTCCTGGGCTGCATCTAAAGAAGTGTGACCAGCAGGTCAAGGGAGGTGATCCTGCCCCTCTACTGTGCTCTGGTGAGACCCCACCTGGAGTACTGCGTCCAGCTCTGGGGGCCCCAGTACAGGAGAGACATGGAGCTGTTAGAGTGAGTCCAGAGGCAGGCCACGA